ATGTAGTTTAACCCGACGACAACCACGACCGCGGCATATAATACCTGTCTGACAAGCTACCTTACCCGTGTTGTATCAGCCGGGCATGTACGTACACATATATGCGCGTGTGTGTACGTACACACACTGCCCGTATATGTGTGTTTATTGCGAAACACACGCTTTTGTGTGCGCACGCGGAGGTTACCGCACGGCATGCAGAGGCGCGTACGCGGTCGCGTGTACCCACGTTGCACGCTCGAGTGTGGCTCGAGAATTCGAGGATTCGGGTAAAACTAATTGCAGGCCTGTCGGAAACGGTTGGCAGGATCTTGCGTATCGCACGCAAACGGACCTTCATCGATTTCATTCCACGGATATACATAATTATACTTTTATCATTTCGTGGGTACATCTTGTGCGTCACATTTCATACATTGTTTCGTGTAGCTTTTTGACGTTACAAAAAGAACCTTTGTTACCCGACGAAGAGAATGAATTTCGCATGTACTTTCGCTAAAGAATGAACGATAATTCTGGGGTATCCTACATACGTTTGAATATCTCAATACTGCAAAATTTATTTCTATTTCATGAGCACGTATTATGCGCAGCCGTCACGTTTTGTCACGTGAATGTAAAAGAAGGTATGACGAGAACGGAGCGTAGTGTTCGCGTGTATTCGTGTAGCGTGCGGTTTTCTTTATAATTTCCGCAGATCGCTTTAATCGTATTACGAAGAAATCGTTGAAGCATGCGACGAATAGAACTCAGGAGGCTTTCCCAGGAGGAACGATCTATTAGCGAAATTGGTATTAATTACGTTAGCTCGCGGTAAAATTAATTATTCCGCTGAAGAGCGTCTCCCGGCACTTTTGTTTTAATTTCATTCTACGTACATCAGTTTTTATCTCGCGTGCGAGCCAAGTCGCGGCGTATTATTATATCGTATTATTATATCGCAACTCATTATTATACAGCGAGTGATAAGAAAGAAAAAGCATTAATAAACATTCAGGCTAGCAGTGGCCGTAAAAAAAAAGGAATTTCGATCGAAATACGCTGCCAAGCGAAATATTTTTGGTGTATATATTATAAATTTAAAAAAATGTTTACGTAAAAGATAAAAAGAGCTTCTCGGAACAGCGTAATGTATTTTCAATAAATTATAAGGAATCAAATTAGTGTTTTTTTTATTGATGTTTTTCGATAAAAATGACGTGATGAATTTTTAAATATAATCATCAATCAAATCAATTTCAATGTTCATGAATTTACAGAATTCAGTAAAGGTTACTGAAATAAATTTTAAACGCATTATTAATTTTTCTAGAGTGACATTTCCTTTCTGATATAACACTAACTATAGTAGTAGAGTCGCATAATTTATTAAAAGCGTTCCATACTTTTTCATTAAAGCATAAAATAACAAAGAAATATGTCCATTAGGGCTTTCCGCATACATACGCACACACACATATATATATATATATATCGGAATATTCTTGAATATTTAAATATTTTCTCTATCAACATTCTATGTTATTACATTATTCCACATGTCGCACGCAACCAGCCAGTGCGTTTCGCAGCTGGCGAATTAGCGAGTCAGCTTAGCGACGCGTATGAGTTGTAAAACAATGGCGAATGTTAAGCTACGGAACGTATGTTAACAAGCATGAAAGCTTAAACCCGGATAAATTAATCTATTACTTCGCGCAAACGTGATCGTTATCGAGTTACCGCTACTTTAACTGTCGAAATGGTCTTAATAAGCTTGCGGGCGATCCAATTACGTAGTTTATCCGCGTTTGTTCTAATCACACTCATTACTCGTGAAAATACTTCGGTGCGGCGTGACAGTGCAATATTTCGGTGTAACGTTACGCTAAATTAATCTGGACAAGCGCGCGAAAATCACAAATTCTTTCCCGCGCGATCATGATTTTTTACATTAATACCTCCTTTTAAACGAAATGAAACTTTAAATACAATATTTAAAATATTTCTCAAAAAGAATTAATAAATAAATTGAAATTATACGAATAAAATACAAAGTGTCGCAATTCTGTATACATTACAATTACACGGTCGCGGTTGATTAATCTCGGCAAACGAAATAATGATGTCGGGATTGCAACACGCTTTTATTTACCCGACTTTTCCGGCCGGCAGAATATCGGGCGAATATTTATAACCCCGAATCGTTCGAGCAGCAACAAGATCGATCGAGTGCTATTCCTATTACATCGGTGCTCTCCGAATGTTTACCCGGGGCAAACGATTGATTGATCATCGGTGCTAGTTATTTTCAATCGACACGAGACGATACGATTTTTATTTTATCGATAACCACGACAGTGGTTATTATTTATTCGCGCGATTCTATGAGAACGACTGTAACAACCGGATCATCTGTCGATTCCGTCAATCATTCGTTAACTCCGGCTAATGGAATTAATGAAATCCGAAGATTAGAATCTCGATTATGTAACAAAAGTAAATCGAGTTTCGATGAAAACCTGCTCGAAGTTAATCCACGAACAAGAAGTTCTGTTTTATTTTTACTCTCGACTGCTGCCAACTTCGAAGATTGTTCAGCTAGTAATTAGCTTTTCATTTAATCTTCACGATAATGTAGACTCATCTCATATTCACTAAAGAATACAATATTCATATCTCCATTATTGGGCCCTTAATTTAATTATTTGTCAGGGATTTGTCATTTGAATGTATGGAAGTCAACGTCGTTTCGAAATGTATAAAAATTATAAAAATACCAGGAAATATTTCAAGCAATGTTCGAAATGTTACAATACAAATATCCCTTTATTTGACGGGTTTTTTTAGATTTTAGTCGTAGGTTGAATTAATCGTAAGAATAGTAATCATATCTGTTTTTCTTTCTCTTTTAATAATAATATTTGTATTACTAGCCATTCTAAGACATAAATAATTTCAAGATTATGTAAAAAAGTAAGTTAATATCCATTTCGACTAATGAATATTTTTTAATAAGAATACAGTATAACATAGTGAATCATTTTATTCTTATTTAACGTCGGCAAACAATAAGAATGTGACGATGGTATTACGCTGTATCCTTACTGGAAAACATCCAATGTAGAGTCACTTTAATCTTAATTCAATTGTTACACACACGTATATTCAACTTTTTTTTATATATGTATACATACACTGTAAAAAAAAATAAAATGTTAATTTTAACTTAGATACGTACAAGAGGATTTTCTGTAAAAAATAAAATGTTAATTTTAATTTAAAAACGTTTAGTGGATTTTCTGAAACACACACATGCAAAAATGTTAATTTTAACATTTTTGCATGTTTCAGAAAGTCCACTAGACATTATTAAAGTTAAATTAACATTTTATTTTTTACAGTGTACACACGCATGCATACTCTTCATCTCTTTTTAATTCTTAGCATTTACCGGTCGGAAGTTTGGAAATTCGAAATAGCCGTACGTAGAGGGATATCTGTACGTTCAATTACATTTATCAAATATTATATTTATATTACATTCATATTACCGATAAAATACAGGAAATAACAGTTAAAGCAAAAATATTATACGACCAGGAAATGTAACGAGGCGAGTAATTTCTGCTAGTGAACGTTGCACAAATTATTATCTTGTTCAGTTGAATGTATAATGAAATAAATGCTTTATATCCACTGCAGAAAAGTGGCGCCTGTAATCCTTTCTCGCGCAATTATTGCTCGTTATTATAGCGCAAGGAAAATCGCGACGCGAGCGAGGATCCTGTTTCCTATACTGCTCTCCTCATTTATACGCATCGCTAACGGTGAACATCATTTTGTATAACAACTCTAACGATGCTCGATATGATTTAATATCCCGGGAAAAACAAGTGGGCGGTGGACGCGCTGATTTTACGTTGAACGATAGAAGATGCGATCGTATAACTCCCTTACGACGGTGATTTCCATAATAATAACGCCGACTTTGTATGCGGTGCCATTAGTGTTATTACTGTTATTCAGCGAATTGCAGAAATTCGATAAATCAATAAGCAGTGTGTATGACTTTATCCGAAGAGCCTGGTGCAATAACAGGGTAAATTTGATGGGAGCAAATTTGGCAAGCGAATACTGGGAATGTACATGAATCATTAATGGTCTAAATGCAAATTCTTCTGTATTTTGATAAAATGTCCGTTAACGTTAACAGTTAAATCCTTGGTATTTTTAACAAATTAATTAAAACTGGATAGATTGTTAATTTAACATCCGAGGAGTTTGAGAGAAGCGCGGTCACACTTGTATTTCTACGATTTTATATATTACTAGAAGAAAGATTAAGTAAATTGCATTAATTGTATGAATCACAATTGGCGTAAAAATACGTTTCTTTAATGAAAAAAAAAAAAAAAAAAAAAAACATCATTTTCATTGGATAAAATAATAAAGTAGATTGGTCGGTGGATAATTTATTCAAGAATATAATTAAATAATTGTAGCTGGATGAAAATAGAAATATTATCTCTGTTATACTCTTTTCAGATATCAAATAGAATTAATTGTAATTAAATTTTCTGTATTCGACTGACTCTTGCATGAAAAACACATGATTCGAAATTACATGTAAAATTATCATTTAAAATTAATATTATTTATCATTAATTGTGCAGATCCATTAATATGACAATTAAAACATCAAAAGAAGATCAACAATATGTAGAAATTAATGTAAAACTAATAGGTAGAAATTAATATAAAATCAATTTGTGTAAAAATACATTTTTCCGATGAAGAAAAAGATTGTCGTTTTATCGATCGATTATAATTGTCAATTAAGAGAATATTAAAAATCGATGCTTCGTTCGCTAAATCAGTGCTATCGTTCTAGGATTAATTTCGCTCCCTAATCCTCTGTAAGTAAGAGGAAGCTAAGGGGATAACAAGAAGGTCGGAGGTCCAAGGTGGCGGAGTCCGCCAAGGCAAATGGGCGAATTAAGCTGTAACGAGGTTCTTACCTCCTTCGGTCTCGTGCCAAACGATGCCCTCGAGGGTGACGGAGGTACCGGGCTCGCAGGGCCCCAAACACTCCGGTTCCGTAATGGTCCCCACGCTGGTCCCAACGCATACGTCGGACATGTCCTGCAACAGAAAGTTCGACGAACGGTGAGCCGCGATGTCATGTGTCACATGTACGGCATGCAGGATCGATATGTATCGCGTTCGTCAATTTCGCCCGCGTGGAACAAAGCCACGTATAAAATAATCTACAACATGAAGATGTTACCACGCGCAAAAAGAATGGTTTTGCTAAAAAATATAGAAATTTAGGCTGGATACAGATTTGAAAATAATTTTGTTATTAGACCATCGAAATAATTACTGGAACGTCCAAGCTGATTGCTGAAGTGTTAAAACCTTTTAGAATATATTTTATCGTTACTCATTATATATGTTTGAGCTTCCTACATAATTATTTTGATACTTTTAACGACCTAATAAATTATTTTGAAATCTATATTTAGATAAACTTTTAGACATTTCAACAAAATCATTCTCTCCGTGCAAATTTATTATTTTAATATATAAATAATGAATATTTTTCGGCCGCGATTAAAAAGCTAACTTCTTCCTGATGGTTAATTTATTTCGAAAATTATTCTACCGAATATCAAGGATACTGCTGTTTGCATTAACTCTCTAATGCAAACGTAGGAGACAGACAATGTATATTGTTCGTAATTAGATTGAGATAGTCTCGTATGTCCAGGGACTTGTCATTCTAACTACGATGCGGTTCCCGTGACGCCCAGGGACCTGCATTCTAACTACGACACGAGAATGGCGATCAAGAGCGATAGCATGACTGAGCGATGAGGATGCCAACTAACGATCCGTTAGATCCATGAACAATCTCATAGCGAATGCATGATATTAATGTCTAATAAACGCTCGTTTCGAGAGACCGCTTGAATATTTTCGCGGCTCTGCTGTGCCATGTACCTCATATACGTTTAATTCAATTCATTCACTCTTCACAGTTGTGCAACGCGACATAAAATCCGTCGCGTATATATACATATATGGTGCCTTTCGACGTGAAAATATACATTTTTCAGTCCATACATTTACGCTGCATTCTGGCTGGTGTAATACACAGTGCACGACCGTTCCGCGCCGACATGACGTTGCGCGACGATTTCGACAAGGTGTTAACGAGTCATCGTACGGTATATATATCTCTCGGGCTTTTCAAAAATATCGGGTCGGGCTGTCACGAAATACCGCCGTTGCTTGTACGCGACGACGACAGAGAGAGAGAGAGAGAGAGAGAGAGAGAGAGAGAGAGAGAGAGAGAGAGAGAGAGAGTATCGCTTCGCCGTTCATTTCGGAAATCGATGTAATCCCGGTCACTGGTCGCGCGCGCGCGCGGAAAATGCATCCCGGGCCGGCGGCCGAGTGGCCTCGAGGCGCGACGAAACGCAGCCGAGGATATAAAAGCAATTGGAGGAGGCCCCCCCCAATTAACGTCGGTCGTACACTCCCTCCTCCGTGTCGCCCGCTCGCTGTTTATGGAAATATCGGCCGGCCGATATTTCCCCCGAACCCCCGGGAAACGCACGGTCGGAAACGCGGTTCTGCCCGTCGGCGCGTTTACGCCGGCTTGCAAATAGAAATGCGCGACTCGGCGAAAAGCGCCGAGGGTTGATTTTCGTATAACATTTCCGCACACCTACCGTGTTGCTGGAAATTGACGAACACGTCATTCTCCTATATACAGATATATTATAGTGCACGGCGCTATCGATTCTGATTTACGCCCGCGGGACAGATCGCATTTTTTTTTTTTTTTTTTTTTACAGCATCTCGACTGCGTGATAAAATTTCCTCCGCCCTCTCCTTCGCAATTTCATTGCAAATATTTTTATTCGCATTAAACATGTTCGCCTCCTACATATTTTCATCAGCATTAAAAAGCATATTTATACAACGTAAGGTAAATACGTCTTATTATTGCGCGATGTAACAATATAAATAAATTCATCTAGATATAACTCTGTATCATTTTTATCGTTACCATTACTATCATTATCGATGGAGTACCGCTATTTTATTTAACGGTTATTATTATACGCTGTTATTATTTACCGCTTTTATTATTATATGCCATACATTATCATATGTATGTGCACGCACTTAAACATATAAATATGGCATAATATGGAAACGCAACCGTGAGCCGGTATGTTGCGGGTTTAAAAGCAATTAGCGAGATGTCTGCTGAATGAATGCGCTCTGCCGGTCGCGGTAATTTTCGCGGCTCGATGCAAACAAATTTCCATTTCGGAAAACAAAATCGTCGCGCGGTCGGGGCTTTGAGAGCAATTAGTGATGCCGCGCATAATTAACGCGTTAATTAGCAGCGCAATTTTAAGTAACGCGGGCGTAACTTTTTCGTATATCGGAATATCGACACCGCGGCGGCGACGGCGGCGCTGTTACAAATTTTTCATTTATTCACCTTGTGGGATTTAAATGTCACCGATATACCCGTCGTTCGATATTAATATCTGCTTTCGCGGAACGGATTTTCAAACGACATACAAAGCCATATGTCCGCTCGATAAATCCGTTATAAATCCCCAGGAGCATTCTCGCAATAACACAATTCCTCGTAGGCATAAAATCGACAGCAGAGCTCGATTACTTGAACCATCGATCGGCTAGAAACAACGGAATTACTTATTTTATTTTTGACGTTTTATTTAACTTTATAAATATATATGTACTATCGAAAGTTATATCGATTCACGCATGGAATCGACCTTCAGCTTCAATATCTGCATGCGTGCTGTATATTAATCCAGACGAATTTATCGGCGTTATCGCTTCAGCGGCGTTTCGCTGTGGAATAAAATTTGCGCCGGAAACGCGTTTACAGGCGGGTTGGCTGAATGCGTCGAAGCGCATTAACGTGGATAATCGAGAAAATGAGTGACAGCGTGCGCGAATGGATCCACATGCATGTACAAAATATTTGTGATTCGTTGCACCTCTCTTCATCTTTTTTGATAAATTTGAAATGCTCTCAACGGTAGAATGCAGTTGATTTACGATTTTTAATGCCGAACATCCACACGAGGCTTGTAGTAAAATGAGAAATAATAGACGAGAAGAGGCGGTATTATCATTAGTGCGGTATTATAATTAGTATAGTGGCCCCTCTTATTATTCTCGCTATTAGGTGGTAAATTCCAGATTACTTTCGAAATTAATTAATTTGATTTTTATCGAAATTTATTGAGCCTTGTTTCATATAGTTCTGTTAAAATAATCACTCCCATAAATTGATTGCCTAGCATTTATCTACAATTTCCATTCAAAATTCTTTGAAGTGGAATTTCACTCTAAACAGTAAAAATTAAATCAGTCTTAAAAAAAAAAAGCTCAATTTTTAAGAGTGACAATTCACTCTAAAAGTTTTAGAGAATGTATTATACGTACGATAGATTTTTAGTGCAACTTGCGTACGGAAGAAATTGTGAATACGTATATTAGTTTTGCAATATTTTACTTTTTTGTTTGTAACCAAATATCTACTGTTTATTTCTAAACAAAACTAATTATTTAAATCAATTTTTCTAAAAGACCGCCACATTACCGTTTCTGTTTCCCTTCGAGCCATTATGCGGTCGTTACATTTTTATAAATAGTATCTTAATAATTGATTCGTAATTTTGAGTGTAGAATCGATTGAACAATACTTTGACAAATGTAATCGTTAAGTTTTAAATTTAAATACCAGTTATTAAAATTTAATACAAGCTATTACATGAAATGTAAAAAGAGTGCCGTAATACCACCTTCTCTCCTCTAAAGCATTTCATTATCTTTACAAAATTAAAATCCTTTCTCATAAATCCTTTAATTTCGCTGAAACTGCACTTTAAGGCTATTCGTGCCTTCGTATTTTCGTTCAGAAAGAACTAACTCTAAATTGGTAGGGGATCCATGATTGAAAATAAGAGAGGCAATTTCGGAATATTCTACGGCGAAAGGGTAAGGGCGGCAGATAGGTAGGTAGGTAGGTAGGTAAAAGCACAGAGGGACGAGCACGCGGCCGTCTGTCGGGCCCGAGATTACAATGGTAGTTTGAAATGCAAATCGCGGAGTTTATGCTTGGTTTCCATAATTACAGAAGCGCGACGCGCGCGTTACCTCTCATAATGTACAATGCACACGGACCGACGTAATCGTGGCATTGTTCTGGCGTGAAACTATTTTACCGTGTTACGACGACGACGACGACAGCGACGACGATGACGACGACGACGACGACGACGACAAGTCGGCGATGAGAAAAATTAGCTGTGAAACGCGAGATGCGACAGCTTGCGAGAGGAAGGAAATACATCGAAACATCACCAACGAGCTCGCGCAGCCTGTCATGACAATAAAGAGAAACGACATCGTATCGTTATTCGACGGATGTCAGAGAAAAAAACCGCTGTCAAAGTTTCAATAATGTAGAGATGTCGATACTGTTTTAAAGAAATGTCACAAAAACATTTACTAATAAATAAAAAAACGATAAATAACGTAATCATAATTTCAGAGCTCGTTTGAAATTAGGAATGTTCTCATTAGGTGTGTATATATATATATATTAAAAAGATAGCTAATTTCATTTTATCACTTGATGTATCCTCGATGTTAGCACAATTTGTTGCTAGAAAATTTTTAGCTTTATTTAATCGTATTCCGGGTAAACACGATGCCAATTCATTTTAACAATTTTAATCTCTTTTAGCCGTTTTAATCTCTGTTTCTCCTGATTTAATAAGATTCCTAGCTGGATGGTTAATTATTCCGCGTTTTTGCTCTGGTACCGTGGAACTGCAACAAATAATCCTACGCACAAAACGAGAAATATTTAGAGAAGAATGTTGTCGCGAGACTCGTAAAGATTGTAGGGTCGTTGTGCAACGCAATCGTGCGGAAAAGCGGGAATAAAACTGAGGCTTTGGGGCTCCTATATCTCAATATTATTGTAAAATTATTTTATACAATATCATAGATCTTTTTTAAACCATTTAAAATAAACAAAATCTAGAGGTTCTATGTCGACAAACCAATGACAA